TCATCACTATGATAACAGTTATTATTTAATACTCATGGATCAATTTATGCATAAATGAACTTGTAGTTACATATTATTTAATTTTTGACTCATATCATTGGTATAAACTGACCTATTGACAAACCTAAACAATCAATAAACTATGAATTAATATTCAATAGAATTATGAAACGACTTGATCCATTCAAGATAATTATTACCTTAATCAGATTATCTATTTTCATATGAATATGTAAATGTAGATACGCTTAAATGAATCCATTGTAAGTAGTATAATATAAAAATATCTAATCTTATGTCTAATTACTAAACAAATAAATAACTCATTGGAAAAAAAATTATCTAAATACAGATAACTGAATAAAGTATCAATAGATTAAGGGCCTGTTCATATGCATGAAAGTGGATTAGCCTTTTTTTGTAGTGAGCTATATATCATGAGTAGTGAAATGAAAAAGAAACTGAAAAATTTATTATTTTTTCCATTTCGATTATCTAAAAAAAAGAAACATTAAAGGCTTGTACAAATCTGATACTGAATTATGATATTCATGGTCAATAGACTTCAGAATTAAACAAATTAGCCTGGTCAGTGTCTGACTCTCTTGTTAAAATGGGATTGAGTTGTATTGTTTGGATTGTTATGTGAAAATCTGGATGGTATTTGAGGAGTCTCATACTGGAACAAAATAGTCGTTCAGTGCTTCTAGATTCACAATAGTGGTCTAGCTTGCATTGACTCATCAATTCAACTATTTAAGGTTGTATTCACTATATCATCCATATTCATTCATTGTGTTGTATCCACCATGTTCAATCAGTTTTCGATGGTTTGTTACATTCAAAATTACTATTCTGAACTTTTCTTGAAGGTCTATCGATTGATAAACTCAAAACTTTTAAATAAATAATGGGAAAATTCAAATGTTAAATTTTATTCGTCAATCGTAAAACAACATTCAAGGGGTACTTTGGAATAAACAAAATAACATTTAAAAGAAAGATAAACCCTCAATTCTTTAGATTTCTATAGCGAAAATTGTGAAATACTAAATCAAAACAGAATGGAAACCAAAAGTCCAATATCAATATTATTCACAAATCAAGCTCAAAACCTAGATAAACGAAATATATCGAAACCCAATAAAAGCGGATGATATTCACAATAATGATTTTTAGTCAGTTAAATAGTTTGATTTCCTTACTAATAACATCCATTTATTGGGTGATTCTTTCATAACTGAGTGTGGTTTTTTTTTACTAAATAATTAATTCTAAAAGTGTGGGAATGTTAGTAACTGTTTGTTGTGAGGTTCAGGGCTTGAAATGGAATATCTAGCAAAAATCACACTAGAACATGCAGGAGTCATTCAATAAACAAACGGAAAAATAGTCGAAAATGCTAGATATAGCACATTTCTTGAGCATTGAATAGGTTCTGAACATTCTCAGCTTTTAAATGTAATTTAATGAGATCTTGTAATAATAACAATAATATTATATTCGGTATTATACACAGATAATATACATGTATTTGTATTTAATTTGAGTCATAATGAATGATCCGATAAAATATGGTAAATAATGAAAATTTTTACGATAAGTTAGTTGAAAATAAACGGTGGAAATTCTTGCTTGATTTAGACATTGTGCTGATTGATACCTATCAGTGAGGTGTATCTTGGGAAGGGGGGAATAAATCCTGTTTGTAGAACTTGAGTTTTTTTATTCACTGTCACAATCACTTTATCACTAAAATGTTCAGACTAAAACTGTCTTTCTGTAGAATTTAAGTGTTCGCTAATAAATACTGTAACTGATCATTAGGTAGCAAATAATATTTTATCATTAATTCCTTTGTTTTGGTCACATTCTATCGATCATTATGTAACGCGAATACAAGACGAAGAATTTCGATATAACAGTAAATTTCATGTTGTCTTAGGAGAGGCAGTTAATAGAAGGCTCTGTTTTTTTTTCAAGAATGGTGTTTCGTGCTGATTTGTATTCAAATCAACAGAAAGTTTCTCTCTATAGGATTCAGACTTTCATAATCAAGCATCACATTCACAGATGTCACGTACTGAGGTATTTTAAAAACATAACTATAGTTTGACAAGCATACTTCAATCTATAAGTGAACACAAAACTCTTTAAACTTTGTATACATATCGTATTAATATGTGGTATTTTAGCACAAAACATAAGTTAGTCACAATTAATTGGTCACTTAGGTTTATGTTTGTCCATTCCTTTTTAGTAATTAACAAATCTTATCGATCAAATTCCAACGTAGTCACTAGTTTAAGTGACTCGACGTTATGTGCACCATGTCCAGATATTGGATGGTTAGGCGTGGTTGACAACCTGAATGACAGGATTCGGTCAGCATTAATGGACTGAACTAATATGATATTGATCACTACTCAGCTATCAATCAATGACAAATACCTCAATTCTACATAATATGTAAAGATGTGTGGTGCATATTTTGGTGCATCAAGGAACGTTGGTTGCCTCGATTACGCCATTATGTTGATTGTCAACTGCTACGAAACTCAGGTCCACGATATCCTAGTGACTAACTCCAATCGCTTAACACAAAAATTGGTTTAGTAAATTCATTTTAAGTACAAATTAAATCAAGGTAATAGATTAATCAATACAATGAAACGGAGTTTAAAATACACAAGTCAAAAACATTAATTATCTTGATTCATGGTCATATTTATACTGTTGATGAGTCCCATACTAGGACGAACCGTCCGTCCAGTGCCTCTAGATTCACATTGGTGGTCGAACTAAGATAAGTTCGTGACTTGAACAATGAAATTATCTTGATTTATCGACAATTGTGAACAATGAAAGGTAATTTCATATCTCAGATGAGTATTACTTAACGAACATAAAAAACAGACTACTTTTGTTGAAAAGAAATGTGTCGTTTGAGTATGGCAACTCTCAGTAACGCGTACAATCTGTTCAATTGTGTATATTGACAAATAAATTGAATAATGAACACTCTATTTATATGCAATATAATATTAATATGTATACGGTTCATTTACATATATTTGAATTGCTTAAATTGATCATTCTGAACACATCCATCTACTTTGCCTCCCTCTGTCTCTCCCTTCCAATATACATAGATACATACATTCATATATATATATATATATATATATATATTTGGATGTGAAAATAAATACACATGTGAACAGTCTGTAAAATAGATTTGTAAATTGCTCATTTTGTTCATTTTAATGGCCCATGAATCAGAGAGAGGTATCATAAGAAAAGAAAAACTAACACAACAAGAACACTGAACACATATAAATAGATAAACTTGTTGATCATGAGCAGTGTCATTAATCATTCATGTAAGTAATATAATGATAATACTAATACCAATCATAATAATAGTAATGATGATTATAATAAATAGTTATTTTCAAAAATCAAAGTTGAAACTACGCAAATCTCGCCTTATTTTTCATCATAGTAATAAATTTAAAACCTTAGTGATTAGCAAAGGACAATAAATTAATAAAATCTTTAAGTGGCTTCTCTCTCTCTCTCTCACACACACACACTCATGAAACCCATTCTCACTTCATTTGTATTTTTCATGTCAAAGTTTCTCTAATATATATATGTGTTTATATGTATGTATGTAGATGAGTGTATATGTACGTATCCCTAAGTGAAGAATAAGTTAACTTTAAGTAAATTCACTTAACCTACTAGCCAACTCTTAAGTTAGAAAAACGTGATCAATGATACTCACATTATCAATGAAACTATGATCTTGATTATGAACAGTTGAAGTCATTAAAAAGAAAAACCTAAAACTATACTTTAAACTATTTTATTTAATTCTGTATATATAATTTAACTCTATAAATAAATGGTATTAATACAAGTAGTATTAACAGTTACTATAATAATAAGACGAAGAAAAAAAGAAAAAGAAGACCGGTTGAATTTAGTAACCACGGCTTAAATCTGATCCTATTTGAACAAGTGCAATGAGTTTTTTTTAAAGATTACATATAGGTTTACTTTGTTTCTCATGGATTAAATGGGGTTTTCTATTCACATTTGAAATGACAGATCATTACGAAACGAAACTCTTAATCATATTTTAATCGTCATTTAATTGGATTTATTGGATTAAAACTAATATTTTATGAATGAATATCCACCCATTTTCATCTTCATATTGTATTTCTCACTTGATAGGACCTTAAATATTATTGGTTCCTTGTCTCATTTAATATGCTATTTGGTAACAATTCCCAAATACATTTTTATTCTGTATATGTACGCATGAGTTGTGCTTGTTGTTGTTCATGCTTTGGGATTGGGACGCATCGGAATAGTTAGTTTATCTGGTTATTGTGTTTCTGAGTCTTCGTTCCTTCTGCAGGTTGAAGTGATCTCGTAATCTCTTCAGATATAGCAGTTATTCAATGATTTGTTAGTAATATCTGTTCGGGAAGAATAAATATAATAAAATACAAAAATTACAGATCTTTTCGAAATAGCACGTTTTTTTCTATCTAAAACTATCGAAAAAATATTGAAATGTTCCATACTACTTCACTGAAAAATATTCAATAAACCTCTTTTAGAGCTACCTACTAATTAGTGTATAAGTAGTGTTTGAACATGTGGTTTGTTTAACTTTATTAGTTTACAACATGTCTGTAAATGTAGTAAATTATCGTATTGCTACGCAGTAAATTGATTGACGGTAAATTTGTACTATGGAATGTTGGCTAAATGGTTCTAATAGTTAAGTAAATTTATGGGTTGGATAATTGATATTTTTGTGGATATTAATTGCAGATGAGCCTGATACTGAGAAGCAACAACTAGACAGTGTCAATTGTCAATTTATGACAAGTACTACTTACAAATTATTCAACAGATCACTGTCAAATCTCTATATATAAATATTCGATTTTCATCATAGTGAGTATAGTTAATAATCGATGTCTTACTTCGCCCCATCATCATCATCATCATCATCATCATCATCATCATCATCATCATCATCATCATCATCATCATCATCATCATCATCATCATCATCATCATCATCATCATCATCATCATCATCATCATCATCATCATCATCATCATCATCATCATCATCATCATCATCATCATCATCATCATCATCATCATCATCATCATCATCATCATCATCATCATCATCATCATCATCATCATCATCATCATCATCATCATCATCATCATCATCATCATCATCATTATTATTATTATTATTATTATTATTATTATTATTATTATTATTATTATTATTATTTAACCTGTATTATTTCTAATGACTGACATCAACTTTAAGACAAAAATTAAAAGAATGATACGGAATTTAATCAATTTTATTTTTTCTTAATCATAATTAATAATGAAAAGAGTAAGATTCACTTCATGAAAGGTGGTGCTATCCATTCCATTTCTCCAATTTGTTATTTCTCTCTTTATTCATTCCATTTATTGTTATGTAATCAGTGTAATATTTAAAAAAATTTAATCACCTTTCACCTCCTTGTCACTTATCCACTTATTTGATAAATCTTAACTTCTAATTACTGAATGGTTCCCTACCATTTTTAAATAACACACACACACAAAGAAGAGTTAATAAAAAATGAGGGTTGACGAAGAAACAAACAACAACCCATAGATTCTTCTCTATTGCTGTTGTTGTTGTTGCTGCTGCTGTTCCCTTTTTTCTTTAATGAAAAAGAAGTTGTTTTACCCAGCATTCATTCAAGAAATAACTGGTATTCTTCTTATTAAAAAAAACAAAAGAGCTCTTAGTTCAAATTGACATTTTCACCTATTTTGATTATATATATATGATTGACACATTGAACTAACAAGTTTTATCTATTTAATTCTGAACCATACATAGTTGTATATTTAAAAAAAAATTGAAATCCATTGAAGGGCAATAATAGATCATTTAAAATATGGAATACAATTGTAGTGTGTGCTACTGATTTTGATAGTTATAAGTAGTATGTATCATCAATCGAAAGTGGAATACCTGGTAGTAGAAAGTTAATAAAATCGAAGAAATGAGAATAGTAAATGATTGTTATGGAATTGAAGCAACAGTGAAGTTTGAGACAATTGATTGACATTTTGCAAATGAAGGACTTACTGTATGGTTCTCAGATTTTACTAAGATGTTCTGTAATTTTGTGTTCAAATACATTCGATTGTTCTCACTTGTATTCTCGTTCATTACACAAAGTATAATAAAATGTATGAAAATTTTTGTGAATGAAAATGTTTTGCCTTTTTTTTCAACTGTGACAAATAGATGATCTCAAAAAATAATTAAACTATTATTTATACTATTGCAAAAACACAATAGATGTTACCGTCATTTATAAATAAGAAATATGAGTACATGTTTGCATAGATACATATGATCTACGTACTTAGATATGTACTTGACATTGACTTTTTATTCTCATCCTAGTTCTTTTAAATTCTCTTAGACTTGGAATCTCCATGGAAATTAGTGGTGAAAAGTGTGGATAAGATACTGAACACAAAGGTATTTATAGGCATATAAGTGACCGTAATATACTAAAGACTGTTGGAAACATGACAAATTTAGAAGCAAAATAAAAATCCTTCGTGTTTATAGAAATCTATAGAAAACTCCCGTTAAACTATTATTGAACGAAGTATTTTAAGATTTTTCTTACCTTCTTAAGTCTTTTTATAGGAGTTCACGAGCGTTTTCTACAAAGCACACAACTGACTGATATTAACCGGCTGAATAACAAAACAGCTAACAGTTCTTTTGTTATAAGATAGAAATAATCCAAAGGGTATTTGGGATCCATCATTTCATTCGCCCTCACGTCGATTGATAGTGATCTATTTCTCTATATCGTGTTTATATTGTTTTTTAGATAGTTTATTGTGAAAAACGTTAATTATAAAGGTGTTTTTATTCTAGTTTGAGAATACTCGTCAGTATGTACTTGCAACTCCTTGTGTAAGTTTGAACCTAGTGATTTCATGTTTCGAGGTAAACACGTTGACTTCTATCTAATTAACTTGAGTCTAAATGGCCCCTATCTTTAAATTTCAATCAGTTCACAATACTGTGTAATCATCACACAACTTTACAATTTAGATATAGATAGAAGATAAAGTGTTACTATTTATCATTAAATAAAATAATATACACGTTCAGTAGATAGCGCGTTAGGATTCAAAACTATTAGATTCAAGTATCTGTGAAAGTATAAACACTGAAATGAATAAGAGAAGTTCAGACGATAAGTCCTAAGAATTCTTCTGATGGCTACAATTAATTTACTGTCTAAAGATCTGACAGAATAACTTATATTGAGGCAGTTAGTGCAAGCTGCCAAAATGCCACTGAAGACTGATCTAAATTCAGTCCTAAAGTTTCTTCTAAGAGCCCAGCGTAGGAGTATAGATGATTACTGTTAAGTTTCAAAATAGGACAAAATACCTATTGACATTTGGTATATTTTAACTTACTCTCCTTACTGATATCAGTTTGTGATGATATATATAAGTTATAACACGTTTCACTTACACCGGTTTGGGTAAATGGGTAGTGCCATCTTCTCTAACTATAAAAAGCGTAACTCTAACATAATTATATTAAACCCTTACTTAGTATTGAATTATACTGTTGAGATAAATTTGTATTTATACTCATCTTTATACCATCTTATACATCTGGAAGATTGAAAGTTTATATTTTCATTAAACTAGACAGTCATAATCACTCCAATTAATTGTCGGGTGAAAAATCATGTCATCTTGTAATCTAGTCTTATTCGTAGTCTTATTCCTACTGGAACTAGCTGTAGAGTTGTCATTAGGCCAAGTAATTTGACATCAAATTGCACATTGCTTAATGTTAAGTACCTATCATTCGTCGGTAGGCCATGCTGAAGTTCAACAGATACAAATATATCAGTACTAAATACCAAACAACACGATATTGATTATTAATCAGCAATCAGTCAGTGTAAACATCTAATTCATACAGAAAATTAGCCTCAGGTCGGAACAGATATGTGGTAAAGTCTTTGACTATGATAAGTGATCACACAGATACGGATCTCACAAGGTGATTATCTCCACTAACAGTGTAAACGCATCTTATTGAAAAATACCAAATGGTTTAAAACTGATCTCAAACAATACTTTATTCTGACTCTAATCATTCATGTGACATGTTTGACTTGACGAACTTATGTATACATTCTCTGTTAGGTTATTAGAGGTACTCCACAAAAAATCCCCAACGTAGGTTTCGTGTTATGTGTTACACGTCAGCATGGTCTGCTTATAACCTTAAGGGAACTGATGCGCCCTGGTATATTTAAGCTCACGTCAATCAATTTCACATTCAAAGACATTACCACTAAATTATTGAGGCCACTATCTAAAGAATACAAGTGCCAAACTGGACTAAACCATAATCTAGTTTTTTCTACCGACTATGCTCCAACCTCCTTAACATGAAAATATACTGCATTCCACACTAAGTGACTTAGACTAGTGACCAAATTTCAAATTGATTAATGGAATTTGATCAACCAACCCTAAAAGAACTACATAAACATGACATTAATCACTAATCGATAATCAGTCAATGTTGAATAGTTCTCTTCTCTTATACAGACAAAATAAGAAGAGAAATCAAATTATCGTCGGATCAGATCAAATTAAAATGACATTATTTTTTAATGATAACGCTATTTTTCTGTGTTCTTCATAAAATAGAGTTACTTCATAAGTAATTACTGTTGCCAGGATCATTTTTTAATAGTGTAAGATCTTTTCTTTTTCGGAAAAAAAACTTTAAATCGGATTAAAATGTTCAGTTATTATTATTATTATTTTTGTTATTTCTGTCAAATACCTGCCTGATAATCATTTTCTTCATTTTTACCATTTTTGTGCTTCAACATCATTATCTTCGTCAACTGTTCATTAAAACAAAAAAAAGACGCGAATTTCGATGTGATTTTTTCCTTCAAAAAATAATTTTGACATGATATTAAATTAAAATCAAGAAGAAATGGTATACAGGTGTAATGAGCTAAATTTTACAGTTACTATGTCAAAAATAATTCAAACACACAATGAAAAGACGGGGGAGGCTGAAGGGATAGATAGAGGAATAGGAAGGGGGAAATCAAACATTATCCTCCATTTCACACATTTCTCTTAGTTTTATTTTGTTATCATGTCCCACCTCCTTCTAAGCGGTTGTGTTAAAATATATTGAACTTTAAAAATATGTTATCAATTATTAATAAAAGCTCAAAGAAATAAACGGTAACCTTCTTAATGAAAACACCATCTTTGATGTAAATATCCAAGTGCATTATTAGCAGAATCCTCATTCATTAAATCTATCTCCCTTACTAAATAACAACGAATTATAGCGTTGTGACTATTGAACAATTCATAACTCAAATATCACACAACATAAATTTAGAAACAAAATAAAAACGAAACGGAGTGGAAGTTTCTCCTTATCTTGATTTGAATTTAAACGTTTCATTCGTTGATTATTATTAAAAGCAAATTCAATTGAATCTTTCCTCTGTTTCTTAGTTTTTATTTTACGGCGTATTTCTCATTTATCTTCCAATTCATGCCAATCACTATTTGAGTATGTAGATGAAAACATAAAAACGTGAATTTGTTTGTTTTTATTTTTAAATAAAATCTTGTAAATTTGATAGGTGTGCGTGTGTTTATGTGTATGTGTGTGTGTATGAAAAGATTTTACGCGTGATTTATTAGTTCGGAGTTGTTCTCATCGTTATGATGATAATCACTAGGGATGGTGGTGGTGTTTGTTACTGCTTTTCTGATTTATTTTGTTTTCTCACCAAAATAGTCGAAGTCATGGATACTGATTAGATTCAATCATAATCTTAATTTCTGTTTCCTTCATCATTTTCAAATTGATGAGTCGATGACAGTAATTCCAAATATTATCATCATCAAAGAAAAATTCAGTAGTTACTGTCGAATTATGAAAAAAAATTTAACCGTTTTATTCTTGTGTTTGTGTGTGTGTTTGGTAGAATGGATGGTGGGGGGGGACGAAACAAGAAATTTCGATGTAATAACTTCTTTTTTTATTTTATGAGATACAAATAATTATTAATTCCATTTTAAAAAACATTTAAATGATCTCCTATTTTACAACACATTGCACACACTGTGCAGAAAAGTATTCATAAATATGAAAGTCACTATTGTTACACAAAACTATTGAAACATTGAATCAAAA